GCACATGTGTGGGCAAGTGTTTTATGAAAACACTGTATTGCAATTAAAAAAATAATAGTTTGTTCTACAATTCCCCAGGAGTTGACAGTGCTTATTTAAAATTATACTGGCCTCTTTGAGTTAGGAAAACTATTCTAACAAGCTGCTCCTGTGGAAGAAGAAGATCATCCTGAAAATGCATAAACTGTTTTATTTTTTATGTCATTGTTATTGCCTGCCCTGATTAATCATTTATATTACTCAGTCTTTCAAATGTGTACATTCTCTTCTCGGACTATGAAAAAGTTGACCTGTTTAACATTTATTAGTGAATTGTTAATATCATTTATTCTTTTTACATTTCATATTATGTATATAAAAATGCATTTAATATGCATTTATTAGCTTTATGATGCTGGTCTGTACCACAATAAACTTTGAACTAATTAAGCAAAAAAGCCAAGAGAGCAACAAAACATTTTCCCAGAACTGGAATTTCCTTTGTTAATCAGACGGTATTTCAAACATATATAATATATATTTTGTCCATTGTCTCTACTGTTTATCAAGGCTAGCCATGGCTTCATTACACAACACCCATGGGCTAAATCAATTAAAGCATTTATTAATCTGGAGGCTGCTGGAGTAGGAGGGAAAGAACTTGTGTTTCAGACAGGTAAGATTAATACTGTTCAGGTAAGTCTTGTGACAATTTCATTTCAAAATCACAATGCTTTGTTTAGATGCAACTTTTCAGTTGAAGAAGATCATGATAAGAGTTTCATTTCTGATAAACACTTACTTTGCATTCATTACTTGCTGTTAGATGTACTATTTATAGTTTTTTTTTTAAATCCTGGCTAAATGTTAAATTATTCTTAATTACATGACTGTCCCATTGCTACCACAAAGCTTTTATTGTGGCCCTTTAAAAACAGATTACTGCAATAAAGGGGAATGAAAAGTGGATTTCTATTGCATTTATAAATAGCTTTATAAAAATACGTTGGCATATTTGGTAATTGGTTTAAATACAGTCAAAAGTGTGAGCTCTCCTCACCTGAGAAATGTAAATGAGGAGAGAGAGATGGCCTCTTTCCAGAAGCCTCTTGAGACTCAGGGCCTGCTTCTCTAGGGCTAAATGTTTACTTTCATCTGGAAGTCAGTACTGTTTAGTCTCTGCACAAATATAGGTTTGGCATGGTGGTATCCCAGGGCTATATCAATCGGTGAGAATTGAGATGACATTCATTTTTGTTCTGTGACATTCTTCCAGCTTGATGGAAAGTGATCTGCCAATATTAATGGGATTAAACATGAAAGAGCTGAAGCTTTAGCTTCAGTTTAACATCAACCTCCATATCCTGATCTCAGCTTTAGGCAGTTTATAACCTATCTGGGTGTAGTAAGTATTTGGTTGCTTGCTACAGAAATTTATATAAGGAAAATTCTTCCTTACCTAAATGAGTGGCATACTTGGGTCAAAGTTTTAACTTGGAGAAGTTTTAAGACAGCTGGTACTAGTTCATTGTTAGTAAAAAGGTATTTTGATGGCTGTTGCAGATTTGATGCCAACTGAGAGATGTAATAGTGGTGAACCCTCCAAATTCTTGTGGGACAGAAAATCACTCCTATATATTTAATTGGGTTCAGTTGGATTCCACTCTATGTTCATTTTTGGACTTTGGCCCTTTTATCAAATGCAAAAGTTTTAGCAAACTTTCAGTTTTTGGAAGTTATCGACCAGCCTACTCAGTGTGCAGTACTGAACTACAGAGCTTAATATTCTAAGTTGTATGGGTGATCAGGAGATAAGGCCCACATCATCTCCATATAGGACTATTGGAGTCTTACGTTGGGAGTGTAACAATCTGTATTAGTCACTGTCTCGGTTACAGAGTTAAAGAATAATTAGCAAGATAGGGACCAAAATATATCCCTGACACCTTTGTATGAATATCACTTCTGAAATCAGCCCCTGGTTATCATATCTAACTCTGAAGAAGGAGTTGGCGTATGAATTTTTGATCACACAAAGAAGACACTGACTCATGTTGGTATTCCTGAGTTTATCCCACAGAATCTTTCAAATTGTAGAGTCAAAGGCAAATAGAAAGTCCAAAAATACCACATATAAGGTTGATTATATAAATGATTTCTGGATAAAATTGGGTAATATCAAAATACGGTGTACACTTGACTGGCGATCTCTAAAGCCAACTTATTTGTCCTCTATAATTTCCTTGGATTCCATCCAAGCTTGGAGTTTATTACGTTCTTTGCATATAATTTGTCCGGGTATGTAATAAGGTGGTAAGTTTGTAATTAGTAAGGTTTTTCTCATCATTTTTTGTAAATAGGAAATTTTATGGTTACCCCAGTCTTAGGCATCTTCTCTACTGTAATTAGAGATAGTATACAAAGTTTCATAATATGGTTCTCGAGCTTGAACTGAGTCCTGATTGGCCCTGAGCAGAAATTCATCAAAACCAAGAAGAATTCCTTTTCTTGACAGAAAGGATGCATTGATGCCATGCATCTTTCACAGCCTTCAGCTTCTTCTCCCTAAGGATTGATTCATATTGTGATTTGAGATCATACAAAATTTTATAAACGGCCCAAGATGATAACATTTATAAACAACATAGATGAGTTTAACTTTTCTTGTGAGCAGCTGACATTCTTAAACTTTGTTAATCTTAGTTATACAGGTAAAAGATACAGTTCCTCCTGAATCAGATTTGCTGACCACCAGTCATACAACTCCATCTTGAAATCTTGTGGTCAGTTGACAAATAACTTGAGCCAATTTCTAAAACATCTTTGACTTTAGCCACTGAGCTGTGGCATTAGCATTTTTTTTTACTACATTTGGGTCACGGTAGAGTGTGTCCTCTGAAAAGCTATTCTCAGATGTGTCCTCTTAAGGGAATGGGAAAAAGGAAATTTAAAATTTCATAATCATATTTAGAGTGAAAGCCATGTATTTTGGTTATGGCAAAGCACAAATTAAAGTATACAACACTAAATTAAAATTGTTCACAATTTTACAATTGTTCTCTTAATTCTTGCAGGACCTGAAAACCCTTGGCTGGTACAAGCATATATCTCTGCTGCTAAGCACCCTTTTGGTTGTATCGTGGCTCAAGAGGTGTTTCAGAGTGGTATCATCCCTGCAGACACAGATTTCCGTATTTACAGAGATTTTGGCAATGTTCCAGGTGTGTTAGATAGGCTTAGTAGGATCAGCTTTTGGGCCTATACTTGGAAGGACAATGGAAAGTAGGTAGGAGGATTGTCAAGCCAATAAAAGCAAGGAAAAGCTTGTGATACAAAGCTGTCCAATACTCTATGTGCCTAATGTTGATGTGCACATTGCAGATTTTCTGAACCAAAGACAAGAAACTCCGACACAGTCCTATATGGGAGAAATTTCTCCTTTATGATTTGTTTAATGACAGAGACCAGATCACTCTTTAGTAAAAATAAGGTTACATTTATTTCAGTACTGGAGGCTGCAATAGTAAGCCCCAAAATGTATGAAGTGCAACATCTTTATGTAGGTTTATACAAATCAAAGTATCAATGCAATCCATATGTCCAGAAGTAGTAACATAGTGAAAGTGAGATTATAAAGACAATGGTTTTGTTAAGAGTGGTTGGTTGGACAAGGAGAACATCCCTTTTTCCCCATTATGGCTGGGCCAATGCATTCTGAGTTAATGCTGGTTTAGCAATAGCAATAGCACTTAGACCTATATACCATCGGTCTATAGTATTCTCTGAACGGTTTACAGTGTAAACTGTATATTGCCCCCAACAATCTGGGTCCACATTTACCATCCTCGGAAGGATGAAAGGCTAAGTCAACCTTCAGCTCCGTCAGAATTGAACTCCAGGCTGTGGGCAGAGTTTGCCTGCAGTACTACATTCTGCGCCGTCACCTTTATCAACCAGAATAATATAGAAATTGTTTATTAATATTTTTCTGAAACATTTTCTGAAGCCACCATGTGAGACAGCAAGAAAAAAAGCATAAATAATAAGCACACAATCAAAATTATGAAGCTGTAAGCAAATATCGAAATATGAGTGTTTAGTAGGACAGTTCATAGTTAATTTAACATTCCTTGTCAATATATTAATTTAATTAGGAATACTTTGTAAAGTTATATTAAATAACATTATGATTTAATTTAATTATACTGACAGGAATAGACCTGGCTTTCATTGAAAATGGTTACATCTATCATACAAAATATGACACGGTGGATCGAATTTTGACAGATTCTATTCAGCGAGCAGGTTAGTTTCTCATGACTTTCACTGGCAAGTTAAGATTAAATTATTGTTCCCTGTGTTGGTTAATAATGAAAATTGAAATTAATAGGCCCAAAATCTCAGCATCCTAAAGATAACGCTTTGAAAATAAAAAGTTCATGGATAAATATAACTAGGTAAATTAATTTTGCTTCTCCTATATTAAGGAGTTTGAGTAAAGTTAATTGATTTTAATGACTAAAGACAATTTAGATATCATAGCTTAGCTTTTATACTCTTTTCCTTGAATTTTTCCATGGTTACATCTTACTTGCTTCTTTATCGTTATTGACCTTAGAGTTCACTGAATTATTTATTTATATTAAGGTTTTGTAGCTATGTTTTAAAAACTCCGGCCTTCAGTATATTGAATATTGTCCAGCCTATTTACTGTTTCCCTTTCAATTTTTGTTTCAAGAAGTAAATAATTTCAAATTCCAATTGTTTCATGATATAGTATTAATGAAATGATGTGCTGATTTACTTAAGAAAAGACAAATCCTTAATATATACTGTTTTTCTCCCCAAGGTGACAATATCTTAGCTGTGCTAAAATACTTAGCAAAATTGGATATATTAACCAAATCTCAGGAGTATCGACATGGAAATGTTATCTTCTTTGATGTTCTTGGCATGTTTATTTTGGCTTACCCAGCTCGTGTTGGTGCCATTATGAATTGTGTCATTGCGTCAGTTGCCATGCTTTATATCAGCAAAAAAGTTCTACAGCCAAGAAAAAAAGGTAAGTTCATTTCATGTTCTGTCCCACACAGACATACTCAGAAATAGTGTTCTGTTTAAGGGTAAGCAACCTTATATAAAATATAGAAAAAGAATACATTAGAAGCAGGAGTTAAAAGTAAATGAAAACTAATTAAACCTTGTTAGCATACTGTGGCATATGGATTTTGGAGCCTGACAAAGCCACTGCTTTGCAGATGTGAGCCAGACGTTGGAGAGAGGAAAAAGAGAAAAAATAAAGCTTATCTTTGGCCCTGAATGGTAACTCTGCTGTCACAAGGCTGATGACCTGACCTGGCTACTAGGAACTCTTCAATTGCTATGGTACATGCTGCCAGTTTAACCAAAAATTGGAGACAGAGAATGAGAGAAGGAATGGAGAGAAAGAAAAAAAGAGTAACTGGAGCAACCAGAGATGCTGGAGAGAAAAGGATGGAGAGAAGTTGGAGAGTAAATCTAAGAACTGAAGGACAAGTGTTGGTTGCTGTTCGGGGAGAGGAGAACAACAATTCAGGATTGCTTCTCTAGAACAGGGGTTTTCAACCAGTGGTACGGGTACCACCTGTGGTACATTGGCACCTGGCAGGTGGTACGCAACCATCCTAGAAAAATAGCGGGGGAGGGGAATGAGCTGAACCGGTGGCAGCACTGCGCAAACCTGAGCAAGAGATGGCTGTAGCTGCAGGGCTGTCAGGGCTCAGCGGAAACGCCAGGATCAGCGCCAGGCTCCAGCTGGAGCTCAGCGCTGATCCTGGTGCTTCTGCTGAGCCCTGAAGAAGCACCAATCAGCTGGAAAACAGCACTGATCCTGGCACTTCTGCTGAGCCCAGAAGCGCCGATCAGCTGGAATGTTGCAGCATCTCCAGGGTCTTGTGATTTACATTCAGATGCTTGGCAACTGATTCATATTTATGACGGTCACAGTGTCCCAGGGTCATGTGAAGTGATCAAAACCTGCTGCAATCACCCAGCAGACCCCACCCCACCCCTGCTGCCAATCCTCAACAGAAATGCTCACAACAATGAAAACCTTGGACAGGAGGAAGAGTGCCGCTGGGCGGGCAGGCAGGTATCTTGCTCGGCTGTGGCTTGGGGGGCACTTTTTTCAGTGCCATTGTAACTTCGAACAGTCACTAAGCGAACTGTTGTAAGTCGAGGACTACCTGTTATTTTATCACTTTTTTCCTTTTTTGGGGGGTCATCAAGTTTTTGACACCTTGCTAGGTGACTGGTGATACTCAGATGTTACCATATACACAAAGTGGTACAATGGGTGAAAAGGATCGAGCGGAAGGGCTACTGCCCTCCCACGATCAAGCGGGGGTCCCCTCCTTGCTTGTTGCCCCTACAGGGCAACTTTCGACCCTTTCCAGGGTCCCTCAGAGGTGCAAAATCGGACATGGAAGGTGGAGCTCACCTTCCAGCGGCCCTGGCAGCACCGGCGTCAAACCAGAAGTCCCAAGACATAATTTTTAAGTAGCTTGTGCAGAAACTGAAAAAGAGAGGTGGACTGTTTGGAAAAATGTTGGAAAGGGAGGAGGTATCTGAGGAGAATGTGTGAGCTGAAGCTATATCTGTGCCAGTGTAATTAATTAGGAAGGGGTGGAGGAAGATCTATAGGACTATCTCGCTATGTTTAAATGGATTGCAAAAACACAGGGCTAGAAATAAAAAAAACCAGATGGCTAGATTAGCTGTGTATTTGACAATTACCAGTACTTAACAGGGTTGTGGTGGATGGCTAGATTAACTTTTACAATTAGCAGTATTTTAAGATGAAGATTATGGTGCTGTGACGTTGGCCATTCTATAGCACTTTTAAGTCAAGCTTAGAGGCAGAAGTTCTAGGACCTCAAAGCAAGAATTTCATGAGACTCTAACCCCCTAACTGTAAGGGAGACAAAGGGGCTTTAAGCAAGGCAGTTCTCATTATATGTGGAAAAGCTGGTCATGGAGGCAAAGCATGCCTTAACAACAAGGTGCAAACATCTAGTTAGGTAAGACCTCAAAGAACTGCCTAGTTCCTGGCCATGTTGAAGAACACTTCTATGCTGGCTCAACAGCCCAAACTATCATTGGGAACACAAGGAAAATCCCCATTCTAGGACTGGAGGTTTGGGCCTGAAAATCACTGCCATGTTAGGTTGGTCAAGGGTCTTCCGCATGATATCATGTTGGGAATGGGCGTGCTAATCACTTAAGAGATTGCTGGTTGGCATGCCAGCAACCTCTTCAAGCAGCTTAGGTGAACCCCCCCCCCCATACACACACACATACACACCAAGTGTTGGTTCATATTTGGAGAGAAGAGAAGAACAATCCAGGAGTAATCCCTGGAAGTCAGAAGGTTAAGATCCAAAGGCATGAGGTCCACCCACGAAATGCTGTGAAGGATCCAGCTGGTTGTGGGTGATAGCTTCATCCAAGACCCTGGAAAAGACAGAGGGAACCGGGTGTTGGTAGGGAAGCCGTGGTTTTGGTGCAAAAACTAGACAGAGGATCCTGAGAGGTGTTCACAATCCCTCTTCAAACCTTATTCCTTCAAACCGTACTTTCTTTCATTACACCCAGAGATTTATAATTTTGTTTTCTGTTTCTGTACCTCCACTGGAAGAAGTCAACAAAAGAAGCTACTTCAAAACTTTAAACTACGGACTATAGAAAACAAAAGCTATATAAAAGTTAAAAACAATGTTTAGAAACCCAGGAAAAGAAACCGAGAAATGTAATCTTTGATAATGTGTTCCTTGCATCAACTAAGTCTTTATGCATTTTCTCAGTCAGTTATTTAGCATGAATATGAGTGAAGTGAGGATTGCCTGAGTTTCTGAAACAGGCTGACTAGTGGTACGTGCATAGAAGTTCAGTTTGTTAGTCTGCAGATCCTACACAGGAGTGTAGGACTTCTGTTTGTGTCCACAGTCGGGGACACAGCTTCCCTAAATCAGTAATATATAGATGTTGGCTGGTTATGATTATTGCCTTTCTCCTTTGATAACCATGATATGGTGTTTCTGATGACATATGAAATGCATCTTTGTCTAGAAAAAGTGGTAATCAGTGGAAACGCATCTTAAGAGAGTAAGTGAAAAATACTGAGTTGAGGGCCAAGGGACCAAGCAAGTTTTCTACTGATTTTGATAAGACATAACCTGCTATATACTGTATGTAAACAGTCTCTTCCATAAAAGAGTAAAAGCCTTGCCGTATTGCAATTAAGTCCATTCAGAAATGCTGTGACTAGAATATAAAAAGGTAAAATAAGTAGAGCAATAATTTGCAACTCAGTCCTAAAAGGAAAAAGCTTTGTGGTTTTTGTTGCCATTTTTATTTTACCAAGAACCACGTCTTATTACTTTAGTCCTCCTAAAAGAAGTAATACGGTATGTCTCTGATTTTAATATCTTTTTTCTTTTCTTTCAGCAATTAATTATATGAAGGAATTTGCCATTGCTTTTGGCTTTACAGTACTTAGTTTCTTTATTACCTTAACTGGCATCCTTCTTGTGGCACTGTTTATTTCTTTTATTGGACAATCTCTTTGCTGGTATACCCACTACTATGTCTCCTATTTTCTCTATGGATCTGCAGCTCTGGCTACACTGATTTTTGTGCATACATTAGCCAAGAAATTTTATTATAAAGTAAGTACTATTACATGATTGAATTTAGCAATTTAGACTCTACTAGATGAGTCAGACTGCCTAGCTCAGTAAAACTCTTCTCTAGGCAGAAGTCTATCCCAACTTCTCTTATGCAGTCCTGGTTAATTAAATGTTTTGATGTTTCCTCTAAATTCCTTAGCGAGGCAAGATTTCCAAGTGAACTTAATTATAACACAGTAGGCAGTTCTCAGGCTATATGTGAATCCCAGATCATTTTGATTGCCCTTTGACCTTCTCAAAATTGGGCTATCAGAATCCAGGAATAAAAGTGTGATCTTTGACAGGATGAAGCTGACCCTTTCTTAATAACTGAAAACCCAAAGTAGCTGTTTTAAACGTCTAGTGCATCCACACTTGTTCAAAAGTGTGATAAAATTTTGGAAAGCCGTCCTTCTGTGTTCTCCTAGATTCCTTTTTATACTTACTACAGCTTTGCTTTTTCAAAGGCTTCCTTTTGCAACCCTCATGTTTGTAGTTAGAAGTAGTAGACAATTCCTGGTTGGTACAGTTCCTGTTTCCACAGGAAGTGGAACTTTCTATTCATTGTGCATTGAGAAGCAATTTTCTGCTCTTAAAATGCCTGATACATTGTCTTCAGATTTAAATCAAAGAGGATTGACATTTTTATTTTGTTTTTCTTTTCCCAGCACACAAATGAACGGTTCCTAGGAGAACTCTTTTTTGATGTTCCACTTGCACTTTGGTCTATTTCAGGGGTTCTGCTTACTTACCAGGGAATTTGCTCGGCGTTTATTTGTGCAATGTGGGTAGCTTTTCCACTCCTCACAAAACTAATGACCTATAAGGAACTGAAAGAAAAAGGTATGGCAGCAAGACTTATTTCCATAGGTTCTGGTAAGGCAGGGGTGGGCATGCTTATAGCCAAGCCAATACTTTTCTAGCCTCTGAGAACTGATGTTGTAAAAGGTGATTATAGTGTGGGTTTTTTTCAACCCCTTTTGCAATGCTTATAGCAGTGGTGGCGAACCTATGGCACGCGTGCCAGAGGCGGCACTCAGAGCCCTCTCTGTAGGCACGCGTGCCTTGCCCCGGAGATGGCAACCAGCCCCCCGCTAACTCGCCGAGGTCCAATATGGCCAGATGCATCCCTCCTGGCCTCGCATGCTCTTCTTTTCCCAGGCACGACCCACTGCATCACCTCAGCTGTTGGCTGGCCGTCCAGTTCAGAGGCGGCTTCTCTGAACTGCTGATGGCGGGCTGCGGAGCCCCAGAGTGTGCCGGTCGAGGGGCTGGCAGGCTGTGGCTGCTGACGGACACTGTCGGCCCCCATGCGCTCACTGGCCTCTGTGTGCGGGGGCTGATGGTGTCAGGCAGCAGCCGTCCTGATCCCTGCCTTGCCTTGCAACAATGGCATCCCCACCCTGCCTCACCTTGCCTCGCCTCACCCCGCAGGATGAGCCTGTTGTCCACTGCCCCACCTGCCAGAGACCCCCTGGATCTCCCCCAACCCTGCCCGGCCCCCACAGGCGTCCCTCCCCACGAGCAACATCAAGGTGACCACGCCTACCTTGGCCACACCCATCCAGTCTGACCACCACAGGCACGCCCACCCAGTGGGCCACGCCCACCTTGCACCCAGCGATACATAAGTGGGCTTTGGGTTGCAGTTTGGGCACTCGGTCTCTAAAAGGTTCACCACCACTGGCTTATAGCATCTATTTTGTTCCTAAAATTTCCCAACCTTTCCCATGGGAATTATTAGTCCAATTTTGGCAGTTTTATTTAAATAAGATACTATAAGATACTTAAGATGCTATAAATTTTAAACAAGGTTTATAACATTCATTGTCACATTGAGTCCCTGTAAAACTCTAAAATGGCAAAACAGTTTTGGCAATAAGGCCATAAGGAGGTACTAGGGACTTTATGCTTGATGTAAGGCATGAGACCACCAAGCCAAATGCAGTCCCTGATCTAATTTCATTTCATGTAGTTCACATGTCTGACAAGAACAGTCTATGCCTTTTTTTTGGCAACCTTCTGTGTAGGGAGAAGAAACAGGAAGTTGGAAAGAAAAAAGCAAAAGTAAAATTGTCAAATTAAAAAATGTGCACATGAAGTAGCCAACCTATACTAAACACCACGGATATAGCCCCTCTAACTTGGTTTTTAACCGGAATCAAAAACAAACGCATTCACTGCACATTATTTATTGAGTGATGTTATAAATAATACGTATCTTCCCCAATTTACTTGCATTTTGCTGTTGTTGAGACTCCGATGTGGCTCTCAATGTTTGTTCCAGTTTCCCTGAAAGTAAGTTCCACTCAATTTAATGTACCATGAAGCAGACATATCAATTTAAGGAAATGCACAGATTTGTTTCATAGGCTTTCTGTTCTGGCCAAAAGAACAATTCATGTTTTGCCCAGCTGACATACTGTACCAAATTTGTACCGTCAGTTATGAAATCCCTTCATATTTATCAATCAGAAATAAAGAACCTTGAGTTACCCTTCTTCTTCCACACAATTACTGCTCTCTGTCCTTCTCAACTTAATTTAAAGAATGCATGAGCCCCAGACTTGGCCTTTTGTGCCTCGATGTCTTGATTTACAGACTTGCATAATAAGCTGATTTATATGAATACATGCTTCATATTTTCAGAAAATCTGGTTAGCCTGCTTTTTAAGCCATTGTTTAATCTGTTAAGTCATCTTACCGGTTTTGTAAGAAAAAACATAATAATTGCCTTCAGACAGAGGTATACTTTCATAATACTGTCCTAGATAACTTCTAGAACGCTCTGAGTGGGGAAGATATTAAAAAGTCAATAGCTACAATTTCTACATTATAATCTGTTTTATGTCTCTGTTACAGGTGCTACAATTAAATTTGTAACAGTTTATCTCCTGGGAATGTTTATTCCATATCTCTATTTAATATATCTCATCCGGCTTATATTTGAAATGTTAGTTCCCATCATGGGGCGCAGTGGTTCTGAAGCTCCACCTGATGTAGTCATGGGCATTTTTATCGTTGTAATCTCCATACTTCTGTCTTCCTATTTGGTAAGATAGTTTTAAAAGCTTGAATTCTATAGATTTGAATTTATTTAATAACTTTTGAACAGTATACTTAAGCAGGTGTCCTGTCAGTTTTCCCATCTGACAAAAGAAGGCACCATCAGCATGAAAAAAAATTGCTACGAAAGAGCAAATACAATCAAAAAAGGATTTTTTTTTTGCTGCAAGCAGAATTGCAATTAATGGGGGTATCTGGGACTGTTTTAATGTGCACATCTTGCTGTCTTCTGTTTACACAATGGAGAAGACATAGAACAGTGGTGGTGAACCTATGGCACGGGTACCAGAGGCGGCACTCGGAGCCCTCTCTGTGGGCACACGTGCCGTTGCCCCGGCCTTGCCTCCCCCCGCGACCCCCTCCTTTCCAGCAGCCCACCTGAAGGAGTTGCCCCCGAGCGTGGCCCACGTGGAGCAGCGCAGCCAAGGACATGGCAGCCAGGCAGTGCAGACAAGACTCTACCCTCACACCCCATCATGCAGTTGATGCTGCAGGGCGCAGGCAGAGGGTGTGGCCGCCATAGCGCTGCTAGGCTGCCTGGGCGATCTGCGGTGGGCCCTGGAGGCAGTGAGCGGCCCTGTGGGCAGGCGGGGCGGAAGATGGGGGGGTAGGGGCGGGGCAGGGGGTGGGGCAGGAGCGGGGCCAGTTTTTGGGCACTCGGTCTCTAAAAGGTTTGCCATCACTGACATAGAAGATAGGCAATATTCCCTCTCTTATTCCAGCCACCTCCTCCTGATATTCTGAAGCAGAATTAGATGTCTGTGCTAAGGAGACATTGTGGATGGATTTGGGGAAGTCACTAGCTTTCAACGTTATCTTTGATTTGCCACAAACTTAAAAAAAAAAATTAAATTGTATAAGTTGAAAGCCATGTTTTAAAGAAATAAAATGGTTTGTTTTAACACATTTAACATTTAAGTTTGCTTGACACACTTGTTTTCTGGAAATAATTCAGTTAAAGTAATTGCTTTCTTTTACTTCCTGTTTTTATTTTCTAGCTCAGCTTTATTTATCTGTCCAGAAGCACAAAGGTGACGTTAATATCTTTGACAACCATTTTTGTAGTCACATTCATCCTTGTTTGCAGTGGACTCTTCTTCCCTTTCAGTTCAGATTTGTCAGACCCAAAGCCTAAGCGAATGCTTGTTCAGGTAAAAAGTGTTTCTGAATTTGCAGAATTTGTTCTTGTTTTCTTTAATTCACTCCTTTGAAAGTACTTCACCTTAAATCCAGAGGTTTGAAGTTAATATGTTGCGTTATTTTCATCAACCTCATTCTCAGATGTGCATATCTTACACTTTTGCCATCTTACCTCAGCCTTTGGATCACGTCATCCCTGGAATTGAGATATAGTAATTGAAGAGGAAATAGAGATTTAGTTTAATGTCAATATCCAGCTCAAGAATCCAAATAAAACTCCAGGTTCATTCCACTCTGAAAATCTTACTGTTTATTGAATACATTGCATGATAATGTCGAAGCAAAACTAACTCTTGAGGTTCCAACACCAATTCATAGACTTAATAATTTTCCCAGCCAAAAACCCCCAACGTCTTGCGTAGTCCATATAAACAAGTTCATTTTATTATGGGAACCATCTGCTTCAAATCCATACCTGTTCTGGTGTTCTTGAAAAGGTTTCAGTTCTCATGGTCTAAAGCTGAATAGTAGAAGTTTTTCCATCTAATTCATCGAATTGAAAGTGACACCTCTCCACCTTAATCTAAAGGCAAGTTGAAACACAAAGGCACGTAGCTGCCAAAGTTTAATCCTTGACATCTGCACTTGATTCTGCCACTCCCAATTATTTCATGGTTTAATATAAGAGGGTGTCTTGGCAACCTGGTTCCTAATATAAAATAGGAAAAGACAATCCAAATGTCTTATAATCACAGATCTCTAGCCATGCTGACTGATTTTTGTGTGAGTTTTATTTCTTACACAACCACAGTTATCAATTTACAATCTGCCTCTTATGTAAAATGGAAATGGCCCAGAGGAATTCAGCAGAAATTCTTGCTTTTCATCTCCAGAGATGCCTCTGCAACAGCTTTGTTCAAACTTTTTAAAACTGACACATTATCCCATTAAATCCAGGAATTTAGTATCGGGGCTTGGAAAGGATGCAGTCAAAATTCCCAAGAAAACTAATCCAATACATGCCTAAATTTGCCCTGCAGTTGGAGGCAGAACTTAACAAAACTTGAAATGAGGGCATGGCTTGTGTGTTCAAATATTTACTAAAGGTTCATTTCCAGTTAACATTAATTGATAAATATGATTCCTCCTGAAAACTCTAAATTGACGAATAATTATATGAAACTAGATTTTCCAAGGAGACACTCATGCTCTTGATGGCAGTGCTTAAACAAAGGATCTTAGATAGAAAACAAAATATCATAAACTCTTAAAAGCGTAGAACTGGGCCATATCAATGCACACTACAAAGCAGCCTTTGAAATATCTAATCAGATTAATAAACAATACATTTCAGCCAGCAGTTATGTTATTATGGATCAATCTTATACCATCAGCTAGATAGAAGATTTCATAAGATCCCATATGCAGAAAGACTCCGTCCTTATAAAGATGGTAGCATTGAAACACAAACTCATATTCTGTTGTGTTGTAACTTTTATCATGAATATTTTTATCATAAACGTTTATTAACATTCCTTTATTGGCAGATAAGATCCCAAGGTAATTATGA